ATATGCAGCTACTGAGTGTTTAGCACAGGAAACATCATTTGTTCCAGAGAACTAATATAAATTGGGTTTTAGTAGATTTCTTCCTTTTCACATTGCCTCCTCCTACAAAGAGAGCCTACAAATGAAGGGACAACACAGTCTCCAGTAAAATCTATTTTGCAAGTAAAATTTTTAATAAAATGTTAGCATATAGTATAAAAACACCTTGACAATTTTAAGGTTTACACAATTGCTAACAAATTATAAGCAAGGCTCCAAAATTCAAGCAGGAGATGCAGAACAATAGAAGAAACAGAATATATTGTATCTCCAGCTCCTTAAAAGGGAGTCTCCCTGTTCACAGACTCTGCAAATAAATCCTGGAGGGTGTTACAACACTACACAAAGCCCTGGATAGACATGCCGCAGAATCACACTAAGATGAAAAAATATGCAGTGGAGGAACTGGTGTTAATCTAATTCCAGTAAGAACACAAAAAATTCCCATTTCAGCAAACTTCACAAACATTAAATTAATTGTGTGGCTATTTTCTCCTTCTCAGATACAGTCTACTGTTAGGCTATTTCATATGGCTAAAATGACTTATTAGGAGCGTGGCTTATTTTTATACTAAAAAACCCCAGTTTATTTCTCTAGGACAGATTTCCCCCTCAGCAGCTATACAGGTCTACCACAGTCATTTGGTTTGTTCAGTAACCATATACTGGTTTTTTTATACTGGAAAAATGCCCCAATTCATTGCTCAAACAACTTGACTGGTACCATTGAAGAATACTACATTAGTATTATATATAGTATATACTATACTGAAGAATATTAAGAATACCAGAGGTGCTAACTACCCCAAAACTCCACAAGCAGATGTGTCAATCACAAAACTCTGTGAAAGACTAGTTAGCTGATTCAGAAAGAGGGAGAGGGAGGTTATTACTGTGTTTGAAGGTACCTTCATCGATTCTTCTAGGTCACAATCTATTTTTCCGGAATATACATTTAAATTTTTAAAAATAATAGTAATAAAAATATTACACACAGATTTTTGTGCTACAGCAGAATACACTGTTGACACATTTTGACAGCGTATGTAAAAAACCCTCCCAATAAGAGTTGCAGTCAGAGCAGCACAAGCTCTGGGAGCCAGTGAAATCAGCTCCTAAAGTGGCACTAAACTCTGATAGCTGCCTCCTGCTTGGGACACTGGTAATAAGAAAGGGCTTTTCTCTTGTGGCAACTGCTCTGTGCAACTACACAAGAAAAGAGATTACACCACTGCACTGGAGAGCCTGATAAAGATCCTGAGTGCAAAAAATCCCCAGACTGCCCCAAAGTACACTTTCTGTTGACCTACAGGGAATGCAGCTAATCCTCAAAAGAAGTCTGGTGGTGCCCAAGCACAAGAAGTCAGGCATGATTCATGCAGGCTGGTAACACAATACATTTCCCAACTGAGAGAGGAAACAGGAGTAGGCCAAAATAATGTCTAAAAAAACACCTGGGCTACAGAGCAACTTACACAAAGTAGTTCAGCTGCGAAAAGCGACAACATCCATGAGCCAGGGCTCCATTTATTGTTGTTACAAACCCAGATTTTAGTCCCAGCTCAAATGCAGATGATCCAGGACTTTACACACGCTTGCAGGATAAAACCCTACAAGTGCAAGCACTAAGTATTTTCAGGGGAAAAAGCGGAGAGGGGGATGCAGACACCATGAATTTCCCATTACCTTGGCAAATGGGGGTTTTAAGATTTTTTTACATTTTGCCAGTCTACTCAAAAGACAGGACAGTAACGTCACAGGCAATAAGTATTTCTACAATTTCAAATTAATTTATGAAAAATAGGTCTTGCATGACATGAGATGACACTACAGAGACATATTTGTCCATCAAATCCACATAACTCCTGCTTAAAATACAAGCTCTACCCTCCCATACACGTGTAACAAGTAAATCCCAATAGAAATTATTTGTAACAGTACTTCAATTGAGAACACAGTTACTTGTAATTTCATAGTAAAGACAGCCAGATGCCCTACTGTCTCAGACCAGACAAGTGTTCTTATGTCAAAGAGTCTGTTTCAGATTAAGCTCCACTCCCTGTATCCATACCTAAATAAATCCACAGAAAGTTACAGACTCAAGTGGAGACACGGCAAATGCCCAGGCCCCTTGACACCTTTCTCACACAACAAACTGCCTCAAAAAAACAAAACAAAAACCACTGTTTCCTTCTGTTTGTCATAAAGGTGAGGAATTACCTCGCTAATTTCCAGATCAGGTTGTTCCTGATCTGCTTGAGCAGAATAAATGGATTTCTTTAGTAACAAACAATAAACACTTGGAAATTCTCAAAATAAGAAGTAATGCAGCTATCCAGATTGACTGATTCTGAGGCCTTCAATTACTTCAGTTAATGCTTATAAATGAAGCGCTATGCTTCAGTAATCATATGCAGTTCCCTCATCCACAATCAGACTATCTTGCATATGCCTGCTAAAGGAACATTTATTCAGAAGTGACACTACTTTATTATAATTCAAATTACAGTAATTGCTTCAGACTTGTAAAGGCTACTGTGCACACTAAGTGTTGGATAACCTAGGAAAGCCTTTCAACTTCAATACCACACGGCAAGAGCTAACATTAACTACATTTAAATTATTCAGGCTAATGGATAAGGAGCTTTAAAGAAGAACATTCCAAATCCACAATAAGTGAACTCTGTCAGTTTTCACTTTATTTTCCCATTTTATTTATATTCATGCCATCTGGTTGTATTGATCATGCAGTTGAACAATCTTGTGTTTTTTCAAATGAAGTAAATGCAAAACTAATTTGTCTGCTAACAAACACGCTGCAAGTGCCAGCTACAAAGTCACTTACAGACTGTTACAGAATGAGCTCCAATTCACAGTAAACACATTCCATAACAAATGGAATAACAGAAGGCCAAACGGACAGCCATGCTCAAAACCATGGATCACTATTCATTTATTGAACATTATATAATAAGATCAACTTCTGTGAGCCTCAAGTTTCAACTCATGTGTTTCGAACTTGTATCAGATTCCAAATCCCAAACCACAGCTACACATATCAACAGAATAGACTAAGTGAGCAAACTAAAAAAGTTACTTATCCTAAAAGCTGTCTCATGATAAACCACTTGCTCAAAAAGCCAGACTTACAGAAAATAAAACTGGCAATTGACAAAGCACAATAAAGCAGTATTTAAAAAGACTGCTGGAAGTAAACTATCATTAATTTCCAAGTGCTATGGTAGAACTGTTTAAGTGAAATTTGTCTTTTTTCCATCATGCTTTCAGGTAAAATTTCTTGGGCATGCACAGATTATGCACACTATTTCCAGCTATTAGCCTTATCAAATATTTAATGTTTCCAAACACAAAAAACAGGCAGCTTTAGACCCAAAGATTTCTAAGCAATTACCTCTCTTTTGCAATTCCAGATGACAACCCTTAAAATCACACACAGTAAAAGAAGATACTGTCTCTATAAAAAGAGATGGAAGTGTCAGGGGAAAAAAAGGGAGTAAGGGGGCTTTTAATTGAGTCATGGATTTCAGTCCTACATTTTAGGTATCAAAATGTGTTTGTTTCTTAAATAAAACTACAGGAGGACCATATACCAACAAATAGATAAAAGTCTAATGTGCATCTAGAACAGAACTACAGTAACCAAATGGCAGCAAAAAAGGCCTTCTCTATGTTTCTGCTGAAGCAGTCAAGCTTAATGGAGATGCATGTCTCCAGTTCATACCAAGTTTTTTAATTTATAGCTGCTACACCTACGCATGGCCTCCAGTGTATGGAATTAGACCAGCTCCTGAAATTCTCCAGGAAGTACAGATGCAGTAGTCCTAGCACTGATTTAGCCACACACGATTCAGCACCAGAGCATCACTGGCATTTATGCAACTCTGTCACTTATAAATGCTTTAAATTTACTGTCAGAACATCAAGATTCCAGCCATTCCCACACCCTTATTGCTTGTAATCACCTAATATAAGCAACAGCAAGTTTTAGTCTTTTTGTTTCCTTAAAGGTCTGTGCAGAGCTTTATAACTAGTCCAATACTTGTTCTCTCTATAGCATCTTCTCTTTAAAATCACCACAGTGTTGCTTTATATTGAGAAGTTGCGTTTTGGACACACATCTTTGTCCATCCATTAAGACGACAAAGTTAAACAACAAAAAGTGAAACATCACAGGAAATCTCTTTTCTTTCAACAGATCCCAACACAGCCCTATTAATTCCACAGTCTGGCTCCAACTCTGTAAAAATTTTACACTACACAACTAGACCAAAACCAGACCCTCCTCGGGACTTCCACAGATGCAAGTCAGCCTGTCCACACCCAACAAATTGCAGGACTTGGGCCTGTCACCGTATCAGCATAAATTAGGGCTTGTCAAACAGGTAGGACATAGCAACAGAAGTTATTTTATTGAACGCAAAGGTAACTGTTTCCGCTGTCCCACCTCATAGCGACAAAAACAATAGTAATAATCACAAGCATGACATTTTCCCCTCTTTATTTTGGGATGCTCTCAGTTTTTCATTCTTGCGTTATCCAAGCTAACTTCACAGCAGATGGATACTAACGTGATAGAAAAAGGAGCTTAAAAGCGGAGCCCCGTCATGCAGGGACAGCAGTATAGCAGCATGTGCAGCCTCAGCCCTCCCCTGCCCCCGCCCGCACCTGGGCGGCCGCGCCGGGGGCCAGCGCTCCGACCCTGCGCCGGGCCACGTCCCCGCCCGCCCCGATGCCAAACTCGGCCGGGGAAATAAACAAGTCCAGCAAAAGGAAGGAGAGCGGGCGCAGAGGGGAGCGGAGCCCGGCCTCGGGACGCGGCGGCCGGTGAGGGTTGGGGTCGGCTCGGGCGGCAGCGCCGGTTGCCCGGGCACCATCTTGGGGGCTGCCGGGGGCGAGGACGCGGCCCCGCAGCGCCGCCGGGGGCCGGCCCGGCGCTTTACCTGCTCTGCCAGCCCTGCAGGAGGTTCGTGTATTTGCTGAGCGTCCCTTCCAGCACCGGCTCCCGCCGCCTGCCGCCGCCGCCGGGCGCCTGCGCGCCCCCCGGGCTGGCCGCCGCCGAGCCGGGGCTGCTGCTGCCGCCGCCCCCGCCTCCATCCAGCCTGCCCGCGGCCGCCGCCCGGCCCGGGAGCCCGCGGCTGGCGGAGGAGGACGAGGGGGACGAGCCCGCCGACGTGGGGCGGCTGCTGCTGCGGCTGCTGCTGTTGCTGCCGCCGCCTTCGCCCGCCGCTTTCTCCATGGAGCCCCGCGGCGGAGGCTGCCCGTCCGCTCCGGCCCCGGCTGCCGCCCGTGCCCGGCAAAGCCCTGACTCACAGGCGGCGCGGAGAGGGGCGGCGCCCGGGGGAGAAGGGGCTGGGCCGCGGCGGGCGAGTGAACCGCCGCGCCGCCTCCTCCTCGCCAGGCGTTGCGGGGAGCTGGGCGGCGGTCGGTGCCCCGAGGCTCCGCGGGGTCCCGCCCGCCGCCCCCCCGGGCGCCCCGCCCGCCCGAGCCGGGGGCAGGGCGCCGCTGCGGCGGGGGCCGCGCAGGGGCGGGGGCCGCACACGCACACGCGGAGGCACAGGGCGAACGGGGAGAGGCACAGCACGCACACGGACTGCATGGTGCCCGGCACACGCACGCACACGCCGTGCGACACGGGGAGCGACCCCGAAGGACGCGGTGGCCGGGTGTGGGGCGGGCGCGCAGACCCACGCGTGTGGCGGGGGCAGAGCGCACACCGAGACCGCCTCCGGCCCCGGCGGCCGCACCGCGCCCCCCGTGACGCGCCCGCCACATGACAGGCACTCACCCGAGCAGCGGCGGGATGTGCGCCGGGACAGCGGCGGACAGCGGGGCTGCCCGAGCCACACAGCGTGTGCCTGACGCCTGCACAAGCCGTGCCCCGACACCGCCGAGGAGGGGACTGTCGGTGGCACAGTACACCGGCAGCACGGTCGTGCCCGCACTTGTGAGCTGGGTGCTGTGCCCAGCACTCAGGAACACAATATTCTTGCTCAACCCACAGCAGGCAGTGTGTATGAACATACCACATGAGTCATGTCATTCATCCAGACTTTACAAAAAAATACTACAAGTCCACACCTCCTGAAAGGAGAGGATGTAACCTCAAGATCACCATAACAAGCTGAGCAGCTCCTGTACAGTCAGCCCAGACCCACGAATCACTTCTGCGGCCATCCTTACTGCCTTAGACAAGTGCCTCAGTTATGTTACAATGTGTATCTTCCCAGCATACCAGAGATGTAACTATTCTTCTTGTCAGTTTATAATTGTAGACCTGAAATGTAGAGGAGACTCGAGAGTCCTTGAAAAGTATAAACTGAACCTAAGCTTTTGTGCTTTTACCCTGTGGAACTTTTAACAATCCTTTGTACTAGAGATATTTTGAGTGTAGAGTATCACATGTGCCTTCTGTTCTGCACCTCAGAAGATACTCAAACTATCCAAATCCACACACAGTCAGATATGTACATTCCCCATATAAATCAGCACAGAAAGGAGGGATCCTAACTTAGATTCTCCCAGTTTTCTCTCTGGAAAATCCTACCATATGTGTTGTGGTTGGGTAGCTAAAATGTTGGGCAACCTGATCCTGAATTTTGGGTGGTTAGACTTCTCATGTTGTAGTTAAAGGCACTGCAGTCTGGAAACTTGAATTTTAATACTTCATGGGTTGGACATATAATGCTCAACTCTTGCGAAACAGACAAAGATTAAGAACTTAATTATTTTAAAAGATGAAATATTTTAGAGTAACTATTTTTCTGCATCTGTTACTTGAGATGTTCATGTAAAATTCCCAAATCATTGTTCACTATGGAAAGAAACTCTATTACCACAACATGAAAATACTCATTTTTAGGCTCAACTCTACTTTTGATGACCAGAGTTTTTAGGAAACATTTAAATGAACAAGGAATGCTCCTTTGGCAAGCTCAGATCCTTCTGGGTGGAGATAAAGATGAGACCACTTCACTTGTCTTAATAATGTTCCAATGATGAGCCAAAATTGTGGAACAATGTTTTAATAAACTGTGTCACCACATCAGCCACTTCAACACCCTTCATGTGTGTGTTCTACATTATAGGTAATGAATGTAATATTTTCTGCTTTCCCCAGAATTCATTGGAACATAATTCTTCAGAAATTTGTCAGGAAAAGAAAGTGACCTTACAGAAGAACAAAGAAGCCTCTCCATACATTTCTGTACAATAAAACTCAAGTAGCAAGGGTGCACTTATCAGGAAGTCTCTGAAATAAAAGGGGTAACAGGCTGTAAGTATATTATGCCCCCAGAGAGTTCTGCCAAATCATAAAACATGATTAACTGCTGCTAGAAGGAGTGCTGGGATGTGGTAACATAAGAAGTCCTCTTGTAGGTTGGGAACCCAACTATTATGAGTTGGGTTCTGTGTTGTTCAGTATCTTCTTAAATAAAAATCTCTTCATTTGCTTATAGTTAAAACTAGAATCAAATGTGAAAAAATAGCAGAAGGATATCACAGTAGTAACTAAATCGCTGATAAAATGGCACCTGAAATTTAATCTTGCCAAAAGCCAAAGTAAAGCACATGGTGAGAAAATAACTTTTACTATGCAGGCATGATGATCTATAAATTAGCTATAGCCTCTCAAGCAAGAGATCTTGGAGACATTTTAAATAGTCCTCTGAAAATTCCATCTCAGTCAGTGTTCAAGGGTAATCAAACAAACAGCTGTGATAAACTCATTAGGAAAAACAGAAATAACAGCTTGCTGCTATATAAATCCACAGTACAGCCAGTATCTATACAACCCTGCATTTATAATATTCTTTCAAAAAGGACAGAGTAGAAAGAGAAAAGTGTAAATCCCAGCTTTTATATGAAGAGAGATCACTGAGGAGGGTTTTCAGTTGAAAAATAAACAACCAATGTATAAAATAATATTCAGGTTAACAGAAGTTATTCTTCACCGTTTCTCATGAAACAAGAACTATGGGGGCAACTGGTTTAAAACAAGCACAAGAAACTACTTTCCCACATGATTTACACTCATAAAACTCATTCTTATGGAGATGGGTTTGGATGCTAAATATTTAGAAAGATTAAAAAAGCAATTGTTCTTGAAGAACCTTTTAACAAGGTTGAGCAAAGTATTTTGGGTGTATTTGAAGTTCAGAAAGGCCTCTAAACTTCTAGACTGTTTTTACATTATTGATTAATTAATCCCTCCCCTGTTCTTAGTATTTTTCTAAACACCTACTTGTGGAAGGAACTAAGTGCTGGACTAGAAAAACCTTTGGCTTAACCTATTGTATAGCTTTTCATGTACTAAGGATTCCTCCTTCTTGGTCAACCAGTATGGTTGAGTCAAACATTGACACAGTTTGCAACTTTTATATTGTTTGAAGCCAAAGAATGTGTCATTCTTCTCATCCCCTTTCCTAATTTGTACATATTGCAGCCTAGCAGAGCTGGAAAACCTTTTATAGCAATCTTGATATAAGTGAGCTCCTAACCTCATTTGCTTTAAGTTATTAATGGTCTTAAAAATTACTGAACCTCTATTTATTTTACTAGGTAATTGTTTGTCCCAGTAGAGCTAGAGTTCAGGGTAATACACACTGACTTATTCTGATGCAATACCACATGATGTATGCTTTGTTACAAGTATTCTTAATTACCTATTTATTAATGCAACCTGCATGATGAAGGTTCACACTGTTTCCAAGGTAACACAGCTGCTATGTTACAGTCCTCCTTTAAAACGTTACTTTCACTCTCTGACCAAACCAAAATTTTTGCTTCTTTTATTAAGACTCCAAAATAATCAAAATAACTCATTATTTATCCCACCTTTTAGAAGGCAAAACATCCATTAAGACAACAAATTCAGTGCTTTTTGCTCTTATCAGGAAACAGAGACCTTTCTCTGTCCTTTGCTAAACTACAGTTTTAGCTTCTAGAATGAGGTCAGCTCATAATCCATTTGCTAACTTATGTTTCCTGGACACGTTGGTTTGGGTTTCTCTATCATTTTAACACTCTCTTAGTAAACAGTTTTCTCAAATTACTTTCCCGTTTATTTTTATCTCCTTCCACCACCAAATTTCCACACAACTTCCCACCATCACAATTGTATGGAGGAATTTAGCTGTATGGTCTGCAGAAACAATTTCTGCCCAGCCTACATTCAAGTATTGAATATATTCCATGGAAATGCCCCAAGGCTTGCTCAGCTGTACCATCTCCTCTTTCTTGCCCTACAAAGTCCTCCTGAGACACTGCTTCATTTCACATGAGCTTTGGAGATAAGTCCATCTGTCACTAAACTGTAGGCAATATTTATGCTAAAAGCATATCAATGTGCACTTCTTTCCCTGCTGTCTATAGGTGTCAGCACCACAATGACTGGGAGATTATCCCTGAAGTTCCTCTCATGCCATGGTAACACCTGCACCAAGCCTACACTCCTAAGACTTCCCAATTGTCCACAGCAAATGGAAGGGAGTGAATGCAGCAGGTGGAACAGTGTGCACCAGCAGGTCCTTCAGTCCTTCCTTAGATTCAGTGTCATAGGTTCCTGGGTTTGAGGGTTTAAAAGAAGCAGTGACTCTAATCAGACCTTTTAAATAACACAGTACAACAATTGTAATATTCTCATTTATATAATGGCTTTGCTTAGAATTAACCACCACATCATCCATGAGTAGCAGGCTTCTCACCCGACAATTTTGAGAACAGAGAAACAGCCACTAACTCTGCAGTCTGCCAACTTTAGCTTTAGCTTTGCTGAGCCAGTATTCATCTTATCCTCCCTCCATGGTGCATGTAAGCCTGCAATGTAAGCCAGATGTGCTGCTTTGCCACACTTCATCCCGTTGTCAGCAGCTTCTCATCCACCAGCATAACCACCCATCTAAGCCTCACTCAGCTCAAAGCTGGTGAAGAGGGAAACAGCCAGGAGAGACACAGCATATGGCAAAGAGCACCCAGACTACCTTTACTGCCAGGGACATTGAGCCTGGGACACAGGCTTGCCTGCAGGTTAATACCTCAACCACAAGGCACTGCATGTGGGCTGAGGCTTCTGCTGTCACAGCTAGGCTCTCCCAGCTTGTTTACTCAGCTACAGTGCACTGCTCTGTAATTTGCAGGTTAGACCAGTTGAAACAAAACTTGATCAAAATGGCTGATCCTCTGGAATACAAACTTTGGGATGGTTAGCTGGAGAAAATGCTAGTTTATGTTAGGCAT